GTTAAAACGTTTAAACTGGTCTCAATCAGGGTCCCCGATCTTTTTAAGAGATCATTTTTCAGGTAATACAGGACGGCTTTATATAATAATATATCAATATAATGATGCAGGTTGAACCAGCCAGTTACAGTAACTCTTAAATGAATTCATCAGGTCTTATTTATTAAGTATTTACATTGTCTTTTCATGAATACATTCATAAAACAAACATAACTCTTCAAAATGGCTGCTTGACCTGTTTAAAAAAATGTGGCGCGATGCAGAAAATGGCAGTAAAAATGTTCAGGAACGTTCATTTATGCACAAATTTGCTCTTCTCGCTGTAATTTGAGGTGAATTGGTTTTTAAAATCAATTAAACCTCATTCGATCAGCTTGTAGGAGCTTTAATCATCTGGTTAAGATTGAACGACAGTGACCCCTGGTGGCCAAACAACTGTACATACTGAAGTTATTCTGTGCGATACGTTCAAACAGAAGTCTAAAACACTTCACCAGTTAAAAATAATAATAAACAGCTACCTCCTGGATTTGATCCACGAGGTTCTCGGCTCGCTCCACGGTCACATCCTTCAGCGACAGCCTCAGGGCCGACACTCCGGCCTGATACGCCTGAATCACCTGCAGACACATTCGCCGCACGTTAACAGAGCCGACAGCCGACCTGCTCAGAGAGAGAGAGAGCGTCGGTGTTCATTCCTACCATCTTATCGGTCTGCGACTGAGCTATCCGGTCCAGGATTCCTCTGATGGACTCCAGCTTGGCAAACAAGTTGTCCGCTCTCTTTTCGACCCTCTTGCGGCCTTTCAAACACCTCAGCGCCTGTGGGACAGACGGTGGACAGACGGTGGACATTACAGCTGAACCCAGAGCTCGGACGCCTGGCTGCACTCAATAAAATGTTTGGTTTTTAGTTGTATGTTGTTACCTGTGATTTCTTCCCTTCCCGGAGCAGAGTCCTTGCTTCCTCTTTGCATCTGCACACACAACGCAAAGCAGCTTCAGCAATAATCACATAACTAACATGTAACACAACCGAGAGAGAAAAGCCGGTAAAATCCCCCCAAACTAATGTATAAACGCTCTCTTTAACCACATTTAAGATATTCTACGATATCTTATTATTCAGTTATATTTCAAAGAAAATTAATCTTCTAGAACGTCTTCCCAACACAAATTTTAATTAAAACTAACTATTTTTGAAAAACATTCTTGATTCCTGAGTACTATTTTTATTCCATAATTAATTTAAAATTACTAAAGCTACTTACAAAATTCAGTTAGTTTTACTTCAAATTTCAACACTTTTGAGTTAAATTAACTTTACAGTGTAATCTGAGTAAAACTAGCTCTATTTTCTAAGTTAAAACACATTCTTGATTAAGTTTGTACTATTTTTTTCACAATAAAAATGTCCAAATGAAGTAAAATTACTAAAACTACTTACAAAATAGTTAGTTTTACTTCAAACTGAGCTAAATAATTGGGTTTTTTTCACCCTACCCTCTAAAGTCTGACATAATTCTCCCACTTTGCCCAAACACCTACCAGACTCTTACCGTTTACCTCCACACACCATCAATCAAAACTAATTCTGCGTACGTACTTGTCCGCCTCCAGGCCCAGTTTCTCCACCCGCTCTCCCAGCAGCTTCTCACTGCGCTGCAGCTGGTAGATTCCTATATCCACCTCGCTGACGGGGGACACGCGATCCTGCCCGGGTGGACAAAACTTAACAATCTGTAACAAGGACACACAAAAGACAGAGGAAACATTAAAGTCTCAACAGGGTTTTGTCCTGATAAGATTAAAATAAAATGAAAAACAGCCTCTAATGGGCGTCAACGCTTCACCTTCTCGCCTTCGAGCAGTGAAACCGTCACTTGTTTGTCCCTCTGCAGCTGCAGTAGAGCCATGCACAGGGTGCTCTCGTCGGCGCAGACGTCAGACGAGAGAGTGCAGAGCTCCTGAAACGACAGGATGGAGCTGCTGGCGTAGTCGCTGCTCCGGTACACCTGCAGTAGTTCTGCTGCTTTCTCCTGCAGAACCAAAGAGAACCAGCTTTAGATCCAGCAGCTGCCGCAATGACATCCACTGTCTGGGCCTTAATCTTTCATCTTTCATTTCTGTGAAGAAAACTTAATGGATTTGTAATTTTTAAAAGTGTACATTATTATTTAAGAGCTAAAACGTTTGAAGAGCTGAACACAAGTTATATTTACAGTTAAAACAACATAAAACTAAGAGAATAATGAGAAGAACATCATTCAGTGTGTATGTTTGGTAAGAAATAAATAAAAATATGTAATGGATAAAACATTTAATTAAAAAAAAAGGTCCCTAAAAATATGAGTAAACTCATCTCTGATGTTAATCTGCACAAAATTCATCTGAATCACACAAACTTCCTTTCCTAAATTGTACAGTTTATCAGTTCTCTACTGTCATTATTATTAAATATAAAGTGAAATACACATAAAATATATCACTTAATCAGAGGCTGTTAATGTACTCAGTGGTATAAAAGGCTCCCTTAAGGAAAAAGGTTGGAAACACACTTGTTTAAAATATAAATTTGCTCATTTATTCACCTTTTTGTGGCAGGGAAACGTATTAATACATGTACAAAGATAAGCTTTAGGGTCAACAAAACAATCTAAGGACTCTGGTGGCTGATCTGACAGGTTAAAGTACAAAATACAACCTCGGGGAAGTTGTTGCTTAATATTAAAGACCATGGAAAAGAGCCAAGGCACTCCCTGGAATAACAAGATCTGGGCCTGCCTTGGTGTTCTGTAGAGATTCCGGAAGTTTAACAAACCTTCACGAGTTCAATGACAACGAAGGACTCCTCCAGAGGAACCCGGCTGCTCCCCAGAAGAGTGGAGAAGGTCCACTTCAGAGGCTTCACCAGCAGCAGGCCGACACCCCAGGACAGCCAGCCACAGTCCACGTTGGCAGCGAACTCAGACTCCCTCTGGATCTTCCCACATCTGGCAGATGTTAAAACACACAGGCAATGAAAACCACACTGACCCACAGAGGCTGAGTTATTAAGGAATCATTTTCCAGGACCTTTT